TCATATCGATTTTATGTGTTTCATTTTCTTTGTGTTTCATTGGTGATAATCCTAATTTTGGTATCTGTGACAAACTTACAAATTCTTAATTTTTAACTTTGATGGTGCTCATTGTTCCTTGTCTGGAAACAAAGAGTTGAAGATTTTTTTATATCAACACGTACACTATTTAACACATGTTCGATAATAATACTTATTACTTTATGTCACAATATAAAATAATTCCCCTTTTAAAAGTGTTCATATTATTTGAAACATTTTCCATTGTAATTCTCTTCTCCTTTTTAGGTCACCTGAGTAAACTCAGGTGACCTATTGCTATCTGTTTTCGTCCGTCGTCGTGCGTCGTTCGTCGTGTGTTAACATTTGAACATTTTCAGCTTCTTCTCTGCAACCTCTCAACCAATTTCAACCAAATTTGCCATAAAGCATTTATTGATAAAGGGAAACAAAAATTATGATTTTCATGATCCCTGCCCTCCTGGGGCTTTAGGGATGGGGCCAAAACCACTAAAATTAATGCAATCTTTAAAAATCTTCTTCTTTAATCCTGAACATCAAGCAGTGAGACTGTTAGCATGATTGTAATAACCATTGAGTCCTCTACCAAAATTGTGAAATTCATGGCCCATGGGTCAAGGGTTCTAGTGCTAGGGCGGGGCTATATTGATTATATAGTGAAAATGCATTATTTCTTTTAAAAATCTGCTCCTGGGTATAAAATAAACTAAGTACATAGTTATGATGAGGAAGAATGCCTTTTGCAAAATTGTGAATTTTATGGCCCCAGGGTCAGGGGTTCTAGTGTTCGGGTGGGGCTCTATTGATTATAGAGCGAAAATGCAGAATTTGTTTGAAAATCTTCTTCTCTGCTGCTGGGTATTTAACAAACTAACTAAGTATAAAGTTATAATGAGCAAGAATGCCTCTTCCAAAATTGTGAATTTTATGGCCCCAGGGTCAGGGGTTCTGGTGTTAGGGCGGGGCTCTATTGATTATAGAGAGAAAATGCAGAAATTGTTTCAAAATCTTCTTCTCTGCTCCTGGGTATTCAACGAATGAACTAAGTATATAGTTATGATGAACAAGAATGCCTCTTCCAAAATTGTGAATTTTATGGTCCCGGGGTCAGGGGTTCTGGTGTTAGGGTGGAGCTCTATTGATTATATAATGAAAATACATTAATTCTTTGAAAATCTTCTTCTCTGCTACTGAGTATTAAATAAACTCACTAGTAAGTATATAGTTATGATGAGCAAGAATGCCTCTTCCAAAATTGTGAATTTTTATGGCCCCAGGGTCAGGGTTCTGGTGTTAGGGCGGGGCTTTATTGATTATATAGTGAAAATAGATTATTTCTTTAAAAAATTTCTTCTCTGTTCCTGGGTATTAAATAATTAAGTACAAAGTTATGATGTTGAAGAATACCTTTGTGATTTTTATGACCCCAGGGTCAGGGGTTCTGTTGTTAGGGCGGGGCTCTATTGGTTGTATAGAAAATGCAGAAATTGTTTGAAAATCTTCTTCTCTGCTCCTGGGTATTAAGCAGATGAACTACCTATATAGCTATGATGAGCAAGGGCCATTATTCCTGAATTGTGAATTTCAACGCCCCTAGGTTAGGGGTACCATAGAGGGGGGGGGGGCTCTACTTATATACTGAATGAATTTATTGATTGAAATCTTCTCCTTTGTATTAATCAAATATTTTTGATAAGCAAGGGTGCCTTTTCCAAAATAGTGATATGTGTGGGCCAAGGGGTTCATGTGTGGTAGGGGCACTTTACTGATTATTGCTGAATGATACTGATTAGTTGAAATGCATTTTTTTGTTCCCCTACCCTGCCTATGGGTATTAAGTAACCAAACTAAACATGCTAAGTGTATAGTTATGATTAGCAATGGTGCCTCTTTCAAAATTGTGAATGCCATGACATCTAGTTTAAAACATTAACCAAAGTCAATCGTTGTAAAGTTCTTGCATGATGCTCAGGTGACCTATAAGGCCCATGGACCTCTTGTTTAAGATTATTATGTACCTCCATATTAAGAAGGATCTGGGAAAAAAAATGTGCTAAAAATAGACCACGTGTTGCTATCCATGAACTACTTTCATGGTTCTTTACACTCATTTTGAAAACAACGTTAACAGTACCTTGTTTTGAACTTGAAATCACCATTTAAAAGTGCAAAATTGAGACATTTTCTCAACAAATGGTTGTAGAGAGAACATTAATGCACATTGCATATTTTTTTGGATTTTTTCAGGCTCTGCTGAATTCTGTAGCTGCGCAGTTCTAAAAAGCACATCAAAAGCCTTTTCTGCAAAATTTTAGATTATATATACAAAACATGCATTCAATTATTCATATTTATTGTATCTTTATCATAAGGACTTGAAATATGATCAAAATATAATATATTTTAGCCATTTGAAGAAATGTTTACATTTTGTTCTTATTGCATTAAAGGTGGCCGGACACCCCCCCCCCCCCCCTTAAACCTTCACAGTTTTAAGAAAACATCATTTTATACCAATTAAAACACAGATACCCTGAAATTGATAGTAATAAATTGCTTGAATTCTCAAATGACTAGAGTGCTTATTTAAAGAGAGAAAATGCATTACAAACACGTTGCCTGAATTAATTTGGGTATCAGTTGTGTCCCTTTACTACCAGACATGCTTTTGTTTCACTTGCAAAGCAAAGAAACATTTATGAATTACTTCACACGCATTTTCCTTATATTTTGAACCAGTTACAAGAAACACGAAAATACATCGATATCAGTAAACTGAAATGAATTACTACTGCAAACTTTAATCTTTGTCAACTTAGAAATTTCTCATTATTCATTGTACTCTGAAAAAAAAATCACCCTTAGGAGAACCATCTCTTTATTTACGCACTTATTGATAACTACTATTCAAGGGATGAAAAAGAATTTGCCGTTAAAACTGAAAGGCACTTTTGGTGACTTTTCAGTGGCCAGTCAGTTACTTCTTCTAGGTACTAGGTTACTAGGTATCTTTAAGATAAAAATTCAGATTCGTTTATTCATCATTCAGAGAAAACATTTCATTTATCTTTCAGTGACCTATCCGTCGTTTTTCAGTGATGTTTCTTCATCTATCCGTCACCTTTCAGTAAAAATTAAACGACCTTTTTGTTTTGTTTATCATTTATCTTTTTTTTTAATTTGATGAATAGGCCGTATATGTGTTTCATGTGCTGCTTTACATAGAAAGTAATCATAAGAAGTAAAAATAATGATATTGGTCCAAATACAGTATATGTTAGTTTCATTACTAGTATCTCTATGTTGGATGTCTTTGTACATGTATTTAAAGCTTATCTAAAGTTGTCTGTTATTAAAAATTCAATTTAAGCAAGAAAAGCTTTCAAATTTTGATTTGTGGTTTTAAATAGAATTAACATGAATCTGACTCACGGTCAATAAATTTTCTATGTAAATCCACTGACAATAGTTTAACCCTGTTTGATACGAAGAAACAAAATAAGATTCTCTGAATTGAAAAATGTCATTTATTTAAATTATAAAATTAATGACTATATGAAAAAACACAGAATGTGTGCATAGAAACATATAATGCAGAATCAGAAAAATTGAACAACTGAAAGATACAATCAATTTTGTATCAATAGATATCAAAGGTGGGGTATAAAAATTCACAGAGACCACAATCTCACATATTTTATCAAAATAAACATAAAAGTGAACAACTCTGTATCATACAAAACCATTCAAAGATAACTATGCTGACACGGCATTAATTATAGATGGTGTTGGGGCGGGACGGAGGGCAATTAAAATTACAGTAGAATTTTTGTTTGCGGGTTCACTGACAAGGCTCCGTGAGGGAATGGTGAAAGTCGTGAGAACCCGTGCGCATATCTTAGCATCCGACGGCCGAGCCTATAAAATCATATCAATTTACAGAGAATTCTTCGAGAATTGCTTTAATCTCACGGATAAGAATTTTCAGGACTTAGAAACTTAATTGCTAACATGGGTCTGCCGTGTCAGATGTTTTACATAAATTATATTAAGGATGTAAATTAAATATTAAAAACTGTAATCGGCCACATACCGGCTCATAAATTACTGTCACTTGTACAAATATACAATTGAATTACAATGTTTCTTGTGCATCGAAAATAATTCATTATCAGCGGGAGAAAATAGTGCCAGACATTATAGGTGACTCAATCCTCCAGCAATAGATGTTACTGTATCAGATTTCATTTCAAGAACTAAACATTTTTCTCATTACATTGACGTTATATCTGCCAAATATCTCAGGATAGAATTTGTTTAAACAACGCCGTTTGATATAATACATGTCACATCATAAATTAATATTTCCAATTTCTTTGTCCGAGATGAAATTACAAATAGTAAATTTATTTTATTTCTACATAAATCTACTGGCATGGTTCATTGATATTCCCGTTGAATAAAAATCACGTGCTGGGCTGGAAAAATAGAGACAGAAGTGAGGCTTGTAACACCTGAATATGCGGAATCAAGAGCATGTTGATATAAGGATATACAAAGTTTGGTTGATTGATCGATTGATTGTCGTTATTTAACGTCCCTCTCAAGTAAATATTATTCATGTACAAAAATGTGTTTTATAAAACAATTAGGAGTCACATAAACATGTTATAAATAAGTGTTTCAATTAAAAGAGATTATTTAAAGGAAATCATTCAGAGAAAAAAAAAGTCATTGAAAAGTGAAATGACTTAATTCATAACAATTTTCAACAACCCTCGTACATCTTTATACTACCTCAAGCTTCAAAGTCAAGTTTACTTACTGATCTGTCTTTAAAAATAGCGGGTGATCAAATATTACATCATCTATTTGCATACAACAAAGTCAAATGTTTTATTGATCGTTGACAGTAATCGTTATATAAATGGGTGCTTGTATTAGGTCATCACAGTTCCGTTCATTAGAATTCACCAGAGATGTCTGACATCTTAGTACGGAACAGACTAACACGCTTTCTCGCTTCCAGACGAGAAGTAATTCAAAAACTGAAGGAGTTACGTGATGAAATTCAAGAAGAAGAGAGACGTCGTCGTATTGGAAATATAGCATATTCCTCAACTGGGGTAATTGCTGGAGGTTTAACAATCGCTGGATTAGCTCTTATACCTTTTACATTTGGAGCGTCGTTGGGATTGACGATTGCAGGAGCAGCAACTGGTGCAGCATCGGGAATAGCAGGCATAAGTCATGGCATAGCAGCTCATGTAATTATCAAGAATAAAAGTGAGGAGGCAGAAAGACTTTTAAAAGAACACAAAAACGAAATGGAGAGTCTTGAAAGTTTGATAAATCAGACTTATTTCGTTATAAGCACAAGCCTGCAAAGTGCCTCGTTGGTGAAAACGATCACGAACATGTCAATGAAGTCGGCAACAATGCAAGCATTTAGAACATCCAGGGCAGTTGATGCGGTCGAGTCTGTGGCAACAACTGTTGCAACAACTTCCTCAAAGGTTTTTACCATTGCGGGTGGTGTCATTGCTGGAATCAGTATCGTTATCGAAATTGGGAGCATTTTCAATAACAGTAGCAACTTGGCTAATAATGTTCTTCACGAAAATGTAGTAGCGCTTAACAGAGTCATTGAGAGACTAGAATCCGAACTTCAAAAATGGAATGACTTTTAAATTTAAACTAACATTGAGCTTAATTTTATTAAAAGGTATGGGAATGAATACATATATCACTACATATAACCAAGATAAGTAACTGCTTGTTTAGCTTAAATCAAAATATCTTTTTGTTGATTATTGTAACAAATTATGGACTTTTAGATAAATAATCTTGCAAAAAGAAATTCATAGTAAATACATATTTTCAGTCTGAAGATTGGGATTGTACTTCGTTTGTAGAATTGAATATATGCTATTAATACTATTTGATCAAAATGATTAAAGTTATTAATTAAGTCCTTTTCTTTCTTTATTAATTATATAAGTGTCATACAATTGCAATACACTGTGAATCAATTATGCCATGCATGGACAAAATGAAATGCACATTAGTTTTAATTATGTTACATACATAAAATAATGTACAGTATTCAAGTTAAAAAAAATCCATCGAACAATACAAATTAGGAGTAGATCAAACACAGACCTCCAGAACATCTGGGGTGGGATCAGGTGCCATTGAGAAGTGAGTATTCCTTGCCGACCGGTCACAACCACCCTGTGCTCCTTGCCATGTTCGGGATCCGAAGAAACGGGAAAATCCGTCCACAATGCATCATGTATATAATGATCTCATGATAAGTTTGAAAAACGTTAGTCAGTATTTGACTGAATGATAAACTGTATTTACTGAAAAGGTCATCGACCGTAGATATAATTCTGCTTTCAGTAACAATATATCGAAATTAGATAGCACATACATGTATATATCAACATCAAGACAACATGTCTGTAATATAAAAAAAACAAGATGTGTTTGTGAAACACTATGCGCCCGGCGGCAACAAAGTTCGAAAAAGCAATTTTTAGCATATAAGTCACAGTCAAGGTCACACGATCATTGTCCTCGGTGTCATTTGAAAGCATTTAATTAGTGGAGTAAGCATACCAAATATGAATTCTCTAGTTTGAAAAAGCTATTTTTAGCATATAGGTCACAGTCAAGGACACAAGGTCATTGACCTTGAGTTATTTGAAAGAGCTTAATTAGAGTATGCATACCAAATATGCAGACTCTGTTTCCTACGGTTCAAAAGTAATGGCAAAAATTCGAAAAAGTTATTTTTAGCATCAAGGTCATAATAAAGGTCACAAGGTCATTGACCTTGGTATCAGTTGAAAGTGCTTAGTTAGTGGAGTATGCATATCAAATATGAAACATCTATCTTTCACGGTTAAAAAGTTATGGCGAAGGTTAAAGGTTAAACATTTGCCAGAACATGTTGGTTTATTTAACCGTCCAAATTCCATCAATAAAAAGTGAGTTTCCAACTTTCCATGGGTATTGATCTATTGCATTCAAGTTTTCCTAGTATAGAATATATGTAGTTTTCAATTATCGCGGGTTTCATGTGCGCCGAATACATATTTGAGACATATTATATGCATTTCAAATGATGAAGATATCAATATTAGTACATGTAACTTACCACACATACATATACCAGAAACGGAAGGATTTCTGTAATAGATGCAAGCACGCAGGATTTTAAACTGTTTTATTCTTAAATTTCCATACGAAAAGATTTTCCTGTCAGGCTTTAAAAGTCTGAAAATCTGCCGTAATTATCAATTTCTGATAAGTTTCAACTGGGATCCGGTGCCATGGAGGAGTAAACATCCCCTGCTGACAGGTAACACGCGCCGTGTGCTCCTTGTCTTGGTCGGAAACTACCTGAAAAATTCGTCGTCAATTCAATGTATAAATAGTGGACTAACAATTAGTATATATAAAAAAAAAACGTCAGTCAGCATTTGACTTAATGATAAATTGTATTTGTTGACAAGATCATAGTATCGACCATAGAACTTACAAAATGATTACTTACTAAATGAGACTTCTGATATTCTTGTATCATTAACTTGCTTGTCAATAATTTTCCTCGTTTTAGAAATTTTTCATTCGTAGAGCATGCTCTTGCGTATTGATCAACTGAGACATATACAACCCGTATGCAGGTGATGAAGGTATATTGCTGCATAAATAAGGGAAGTTGATGATAGAAAACTTAAAGTCATCACGTTTATCATATAGCTTGGTTGTTAGATTACCATTAACGTCTTTTTCAAGTAAAGTATCCATGTATGAAACAGTTGTGTCAGACCTTGTAGTATCTTTTATCTCAAGCTCTCCAGGATATATCGTATCGACGTAGGAATGCTATCTCGTAAGGAATTTTTTAATCCCACTTTAAATTTATTCTAAGCTTTTCAAGTTGTGTTTACTCACGGTAGTATAGTCATATATATTATATACTAAATATATACAGATATATTTAAGAAATATTAATATACTGTTATGGGTCAGAATTACCCGAAATGCCAGCAAAGATCAATAACACAATTTAAACTTAACAATAATTTATTTACAGTAATATATGATAAGTATATGAAACATAAAGTACAAACTTAGCAAGAATCTAAGAATACATACATCAGAGTGTCCGTTGCTGCACACAATGTCCCAATGAAAATATATCCCAGTTATATCTCAATAGTGCTTATACGACAAAGTATTCACAATTATTGTATGCATCGAATTGACAGGGTATTTATACAGTATCATAAATCTAGAATATTCTAGCAATTGTTAAAACATGATATTACTGGAACAATCTAGACATACACAAAATTTAAGAATGTTCTAGATAAAATGACCAAACATGTTGACCACTCTGGAATGTTCAAGAAACTTAATGTTACTAATTATATACATAATAAAACAATACACATCTCACAACACCTCCCCCCTTAAAAAAGTTTGAATGTCAATGAAAACTTATATTATTTAAATAAAAGTTTTGTACATTAATACAAAATCTAGTATGTTTACGATACTCTTGACAAAGCGTCTGTAATAACATTGTCTTTGCCTTTGATATGCTTAATTGTTATGTTGTATTCTTGTAACAACAAACTCCATCTAGTCAGTCTTTGATTCTTGTTTGACAATTTATGCAAATATGTCAGGGGGTTGTGATCCGTATATACAAGAATTGGATGCAAAGTAACATTCAAATAAACATCAAAATGCTGTAAAGCTAACAACAAAGCAAGGCATTCCTTTTCAATGGTGGAATAGTTTTGTTGACATTTTGTAAGTTTCTTTGAAAAATAAGAAACAACTCTATCTACATTATCACTATGTTCTTGAAACAAAGCTGCCCCGATTCCAACATCACTAGCATCAATAGTAAGCTTAAATTGCTTAGAAAAATCTGGAGTTGACAGAACTGGGTTGCTCATAAGGACAGATTTGATTTTATGAAAGGATTTTTCACAGTCCTTTGACCATTCAAAGTTAACCCTCTTTTGTAAAAGATTTGTAAGTGGATTAACAACTGAGGAAAAATTTGGACAAAATTTTCTGTAAAACCCAGCCATGCCCAAAAACCTCATTAATTCTTTCTTGTTTGTAGGAATCGGGAACTTTGCAATAGCTTCCACTTTAGCCATTATGGGTGTAACATAACCTTGACCTACTTTACGACCTAAATACTGTACATAAGCATGACAAAATTCGCTCTTCTTAAGATTCACAGTTAAGTTTGCTTTAGCTAAAATGTCAAATAAAGCACGCATGATTCGGAGATGTTCGTCCCATGTGTTGCTGTATATGACGACATCATCAATGTAGGCCTCGCATCCCTCAAGGTCTTGAAGAAGGGAGTGAATCATCCTTTGGAATGTTGCCGGTGCGTTTTTCATGCCAAAAGGCATTACTTTATACTGGTAAAGTCCATCTGGTGTAGCAAAAGCAGATATTTCTTTTGCTCTTTCTGTTAACGGCACTTGCCAGTAGCCTTTCAACAGGTCAAATTTACTGATAAATTTGGCGTTTTCAATGTTGTCAATACAGTCATCGATTCTAGGTATTGGGTATGAATCAGTTTTGGTAACAGAATTCACCTTTCTAAAGTCTGTACATAATCGGTACGAACCGTCTTGTTTTGGTACAAGAATACATGGTGAGCTCCAATCACTTTTACTAGGTTCAACAATGTCATTGTCCAACATGTACTGCACTTCCCTTCTTAGGTACTGCAATTTTATTGGATTCAGACGGTACGGATGTTGTTTGATAGGCAGAACGTCACTCACTATGACATCATGACAAGCTGTATTAGTTTTCTTTGGAACATCCGAAAAGATTTGATGATACTCATTCATCAAGTTTTTAACTTGTTCTTTTTGATGAATGTTCAAATGTCCAAGTTTGGCATCAAAATCAGCCAAAATTTCTGAGTTTTTCAAACGAACACTCTGATTACAATCTTTCTCATTCATTTCTACACTCGTATCACTTTCAATACAATTTTGAACAGTCTTAGCATTGGCTAAAGTGGAAACTGGTTTTACAGAATTTCGGTCACACCTTTCAAAATACTCTTTTAACATGTTAATGTGACAAACCCGTTTCTCTTTACGTCGACCTGGTGTCTTAACTACATAGTTTACATCACTAATCTTGCTTTCAATTTCATAAGGGCCATAAAATCTGGCCTGTAAAGGATGACCAGGAATAGGTAAAAATACAAGAACCTTATCACCTGGCTTAAACACCCTATTTCTAGCATCTTTGTCATACCACATTTTCATTTTTAACTGAGAACTTTTCAAATTTTCTTGTGCTAATTTACAAGCATTGTAAAGTTTTTCTTTGAAATCAGACACATAATCTAAAAGATTAAGATCACTAGTCTCAGTCAGCCACTTTTCCTTCAGCAATTTCAAAGGACCTCTAACTGTATGACCGAACACCAATTCAAAAGGACTGAGCCCAAGAGACTCCTGGACTGCTTCTCGTGCAGCAAATAGCACAAGATGAACCCCTTCGTCCCAGTCTTTTTCATACTGGTAACAATAGGTCTTCAGCATTGTTTTTAAGGTTTGATGAAAACGTTCTAGCGCTCCCTGAGACTCAGGATGATAAGCAGTTGATCTATATTGCCTTA